TAAGCCACATTTTTTGGATAATATCTTCCTATCCAGGAACATTGCTCATGACTTTCTTTGCATTTATTTAGGTCTTCTTTAATTCCTTGCACCTCTTTTATTAGTTTTATTACTAGGTTCTGTTTTGGTATTGTTAATTATATCAGTTTGGAAACTGTATTTTCTTAAAGTCTGGAGTACATGAATATAATTGATTTTTGTATATTGACTTTATATCCAGTCATCTCCCTAAATTTATTCATTATAATAATTTGTTTGAAGGACTTGGAGTTCCTATGTAAACATTGACATCATCTCTGAGTAAAGCCAATTTCATTTTTCGTTTCCACTCCTGATGCCTGCTTGCCTCTCTACCCTCTTTCCCTCCTCTCCTCCCTTCCTCCCTCCCTCCTTTTCTCCCTTCTTTATCTTACTACACTGCTTAAATCTCTAGTGCAATTTAGAAACAGATAAGTAACTTGCCAACAAACAGAAAGTAACTTTCATTCAGAAATGAAAACACTGAGCATCCTTTTCTTGTTCCTGGTTTTATAAGAAAAAGTTTCTAAGCCAGGTGTTATGATGCTGAAATCCCAGCGCTCTCACAGGCTGAGGCAGGAAGATCAAGAGTTCAAAGCCAGCTGCAGCAATTAAGCAAGGCCCTAAGGATCAGGGAGACTCTGCTTCTAAATAAAAACATAAGGGGCTGGGGATGTGGCTCAAGCGGTAGCGCGCTCGCCTGGCATGCGTGCGCCTGGGTTCTATCCTGATCCTCAGCACCACATACGAACAAAGATGTTGTGTCCGCCGAAAACTAACTAACTAAGTAACTAACTAAATAAATGAATATTAAAAAAAATAAAATAAAATAAAAAGCGCAAAGGGCTGAGGGTCTGGCTCAGTGGTTAAGTGCCCCTGGGTTCAACCCTCAGTATCAAAAAAGAAAAAATAAATAAATAAATAAAAACATAAAAAAGAGCTAGGGATGTGGTTCAGTGGTAAAGTGCCCCAGGGTTCAATCCCTGGTAGAAGGAAGGAGGGAGGGAAGGAAGGAGGGAGGGAAGGAAGGAGGGAAGGAAGGAGGGAGGGAAGGAAGGAGGGAGGGAAGGAAGGAGGGAGGGAAGGAAGGAGGGAGGGAAGGAGGGAGGGAAGGAGGGAGGGAGGGAGGGAGGGTTTCTAATATTTTAATAAGAATGATGTTTAATACAGGTTTTTGTATATACTATTTATTTGGGTTTTTTAAAAAAAATTCTCTTTCAATCCCTAGTACAGAGAGAGAAAAAAAAAAAAAAAGAAGGAAGGAAGGAAGGAAGGACAGACAAACAGATAAATGAGAAAAGGAAATAAAAGAAAAAAAAGTCCTTTCTTGAGTGGTGCATAGATGTAGTCTCAGCTACTTGGGAGGCTGAGACAGGAAGATAGCTTGAGCCTAGGAGTTGGGGAGGCCAACCTGGGCAACTGGGCAACACAGTGAGATCCTGGTGGGGGGGGGGAATTTATTCCTGTTTTGCTAAAGATTTATTCATGAATACTTTTTCTATAACTATTGAGAATATATGATCTCTAAACCAGGCGTGGTGGCTCATGCCTGTAATCCCAGTGACTCAGGAGGCTGAGGCAGAGTTCAAAACCAGCTTCAGCAACTTAGCAAGGCACTTAGCAACTCAGTGAGACCCTGTCTCTAAACAAAATACAAATAGGGCTGGGGATATGATTCATGATTCAGTGGTTAAGTGCCCCCCTGGGTTCAACCCCTAGTGCTGAGAGAGAGAGAGAGAGAGAGAGAGAGAGAAATTTAAAAATTAGATGAAACATGTCTTCCAGGGATGAAGTGAAAATATATATTATTTTCTATATATGTTAAGGTCTGTAAACAAGTCAAAATAACACCTGGTATTTTGCCAGGTGAATGTTAGAGTTGTAAACAAGTCTGGATGGTGCCTGGCAAAATGCCAGAGGGAGTGGTTTGAGAAGTAACAAAAGCGAGCCATTAAGTATGGAGATTCCTTATTGGTTGACTGATGTATCTAGTTTATGCTAATTAAGATAAACTGTGCAAAATGTATATATAGCTCTGTTGTCCTACAATAAAAGGCTCCTACTCCTGCTGTATCAATGTACACAAGTTATTCGTCACCCTCCTGGTTATTCTGCTGCAGCCGGACTGCGGCATATATATATTTTGGGGTGGTACTGGAGATTGAACCCAGGGGTGCTCTACTACCGAGCTACATTCCCATCCCTTTTAAATTTTATTTATTTATTTATTTACTAGGGATTGAACCTAGGGGCACTTAACCTGGGTTAAGCTTAACCCAGGGGCTGGGTTAAACCTCAGCCCCTTTTTTATTTTTTATTCTGAGACAGGATCTCACTAAGTTGTTTAGGGCCTCACTTAGTTGCTGAGGCTGGTCTTGAAATTGTGATCCTCCTTAATCCCAAATTGCTGGGATTATAGGTGTGCATCACCATGCCCAGCTTCTCTCTCTATATATACATATATGGTTTTTTTTTTGTAAATTATTTAAGAATAAATTGCAGATATGGATTTCTAGTATCTCTCTTTTTTTTTTTTTAAAGAGAGAGTGAGAAAGGAGAGAGAGAGAGAGAATTTTTTTTTTTTAATATTTATTTTTTAGTTCTCGGCGGACACAACATCTTTGTTGGTTTGTGGTGCTGAGGATCGAACCCGGGCCGCACACATGCCAGGCGAGCGCGCTACCGCTTGAGCCACATCCCCAGCCCTCTAGTATCTCTTAATACTTTAGTTCTTAATATTAAATATTTCCCCAAAACAGAAACACTCTCCTACAAAACCACATACAACAACAAAAAAGAAATTGACATAGATATTATATTTTCCTTTATGCACAAACCACATTCAAATTTCATCAGTAGTTTTTATAATGTCATTTATAGGTCTAAGGACAACCCATGGTCAAAATCATACATGGCTGTTAAGTCTCCTTGGTCTTTTTGATCTGGAATAGTTAGTTCTTCAGTCTTTTGAGTCTTTTATGACCTTCACATTTTTTTAAAAGAAGAGTCTAGGGCTGAGATTGTGGCTCAGTGGTAGAGCACTCACCTAGCACGGGCAAGACCCTGAGTTCGATCCTCAGCACCACATAAAAATGAAATAAAGATATTGTATGCAACTACAACTAAAAAAAAAAAAGAGAGAGAGAGAGAACAGTCTAGGTATTTTGTAGATTGTCTAAATTTGGGCTTGCCTGGTGGTTCCTTGTAATTAGAAGCAAACTCTGCACTGTTGGCAAAAAAAAAGTATTCACATATTCTCCTCATGCCACACATGAGGAATCACATGACAATTTATCCAATTACTGGTGATGTAAACTTTAATTTTTTTGGTACTGAGGATTGAAGCCAGAGGCACTTAACCACTGAACTTCATTGCAGCCCCCCCCCCACACACACACTTTTTTTTTTTAACCTTTTATTTTGAAATAGGGTCTCACTAAATTTTGCTTAGGGCCTAGTTAAATTGCTGAAGCTGGCTTTGAACTTGCAATTCTCCTGTCTCAGCCTGCAAACTACTAGGATTACAGGCTGGCACCACATGCCTGGGGGTCATTCTTGCTATCACCAACAATGTTTTCACAACTAATATCTTTGACAGACACGTCCTTGACAGTGAAGCTCACATTGTGCCCAGGAAGAGTTTCACTCAGTTTCATGGTACAATTCAACAGACTTTACTTCAGTTACGATGTTGACTGTAGCAAAGATGAACCACCATGCCGGGTTTGAGAACACCGGTCTATCCCCACAGAGTCAGTGCCAATACCACCACTTTTGTAAACATCCTAGAGGGGCATAGGTAAGAGTTGGTGAGAGGATGCAATTCAGAGTTCCCAGGAGTGTGGTTCCATTGGCATTACCAGGGGG